GAGGGTGCACTCGATTCTGTCATTGATGTCATTGATAAAGATGTTAAAGAGCACCAGTCCCAAGACAGACGCCTGGAGGATGCTGCTCGTTACCAGCCTCCACCTGGACACAGAACCATTGATCACCATCCTCTGTGGCCTTTTAACCCATTTCTTATCCATCAGGTGGTCCACCGATCAAATCCACATCCCTCCAATTTGGAGATAAGGATGGGGTGGGGGGCCATGTCAAAGGCCTTGCTCAAGTCCAGGTAAATTACGTCAGTTGCCTTCCCTTTCTCTACCAATGCCGTCACCACATCATAGAAGGCCACCTCATTGGTTAGGCATGACCTTCTCCTGCTGAAGCCGTGCTGGCTGTCTCGGATCACACATTAATTCCTCATGTGATCAAGCATGTCATCCAGAAAGATCTGCTCCATGATCTTCCCAGGTACAGAGGTGAGACTCACTGGCCTGTAGTTCCTGGGGTCCTCCTTGCCCCCCTTCTTATAAATGGGAGTGACGTGAACCTTTTTCATGTCACTCAGGTGCTCAGATGCCTTAGCTGCTCTCAGTGGTATGATTTAATGATATCATTTCAGTGTATTCATAACTTCAATAGATGTGAGACATCTGCTGTGGAACTTCAGTCAGAATCATTGGGTTTCCATGCCTTTGTGTACTGCTCAATCCCAATCCCCACGTGCTGCAATACGATAGCTAACACCTCCTTGGGATGGGTGTGTTATCTCTGAAGATCTTCACTTCTGCTCTAAGGATGCTGTCTGCAAAGCAGCAGTGAGATGTGCTCCCAGGTAAGCAGCTAAGGATAAGCTGATTAATGCACAGCACATGTTCTGTTTTCTCCTAGTCCTTAAAAAGAGAGCTGTATTTTGCCACTAACCATACATGTAGGAGCTGCAGCTGGCAACTCATTTCTGATTACAGAAAAGTTAGAGAAAGATGACGAGTTGAAGTAGAAAATGTTCATCTTAAATAAATGTTAAGTACTTCTTAAACACACAAAACTCTAGTGCTAGCCTTCGCTACATTAGCAAAAAGCTTTTTTCTTGATCTTTCACTTCTCTACTCTGAGGGTGCCCAACCCCGCACTCTGTTCACCTAGCATGCCTCTGTTCCAGCAGCCAGCTCAGAGTGGAAGAAACTTTGGAGCAGTGCAATCCCAGCTCCCCTATGGCTGGGGTTGCTGTAGGGCCCAGCCATGCATTGACAGTCCAAGAGAGCTGGGCTTGTTCAGCCTGGCGAAGTCTCCAGGGAGACATCATTGCAGCCTTTTGATACTTAAAGAGAGCTTATAAACAGGAAGGAAAACCACTTCTTACACAGGTAGATAGTGATAGGATGAGGGGGAATGGTTTTAAACAGGCAGCCCAGGTTGTGGGTGCCCCATCCCTGGAGGTTGGATGGGGCCCTGGGCAGCCTGAACTGGTGGGCGACAGCCCTCCTCATTGCAGGGAGGTTGGAACTAGGTGATCTTTAAGATCCCTTCCAACCCAACCCCTCTACGGTTGAGCTGGGAGGAGAGAGGCTTGGCGCCGGGTCTCAGATGTTTAGATCTGGGAGTTATGGGATCACCGTTGGAGCGAAGTTCTGAAGTGAGGCAGAGGAGAGGAGACAGAACTAAAGCAGCGGTTTCTGTGCTGTGAGGGTGGTACTGAAAGCAAGACCAGAGCTGGGTCAATGGCCTTCAGGTGCAGCAGGAAGCACCGGGGCTAAGCTATGCCCCACACCTGAGCTTCGCCACTTGGTGCACAGCGGGAGCTCGCAACGTGGCTCTCACAGCTCGCTTCCCACGCGAGGTGCCGGTCCCGCGCCGTCACCGGGAGCCGAGCTCGGGCAGGAGCAGGGCCTGGCACAGGCCCGGGGCGGACAGTGGGAGCTCCGGGCCGAGCAGGTGGCGGGGCCCCGGCGGCGCTGAAAGGTGCGATTGTGGCCAGCAATCCCCGGCATGCGCCGGGGCCGCCCCCGCCTGGTGGGCAGACGGGGGCCGCCGGGGGCACGGGGGCGGGCGGGGACCGCGGCCCCTCAGCCCCTCCCGGACGGGCGCGGTGTTGTTTTACAGCGAGCGGCTTCCTGGCATTCCTGCGGCCGCCGAGCGCTAGCGAGCTCCCTGCCGGGAGCGAGGGGAGGAGGAGAAGGAAGGGGAGGAGGTGGAGACGGCGACGGGAGCGTTAAAAGGCGGCGGCTGAATGACAGCGGCTGTTCCGCGCGCCCGTCCCGGCGGAGGACCGAGCGCCCGCCACTCGCTCTTTTTCCCGGCCATGGACGGCAGAGAGGATGCCGAGTGCGGCTGCGAGGCGGCGTTCGCAGAGGCGCAGAGATGGGTGGAGGTGAGGCGCTGCCCGGCTTCGCGTCCCCCGCCCCGCCCCGGGGCTGTGCCCCTCTGCCTACCCCGGGGCTCGCTGCCTCCCCGCCCGTAGCGCTGCACCCCGCCGAAGGGGGGAGAGCTCCCCGAGTTTGTTTCTTTGCGAGCGGCTGCTGCTCTCAGCAGGCGCGCGGGTCTTGGCCCGCTCCCCTCCCCAAATCCCCTTAGAGGCCGACGAGGCTGCGCGCCTGTAGCTGAGGCTCGTGATTTCTGATTGCTTGCCGTTCTCTGAAGTTATTTCTTCGCCGCTCTGAGGCGGCTGGGATTAAAGGCTCTCCTCTTCCTGCCGGTGAAGATCTTAAGAAGCACTAACCTGCAATCACGCTCACCTACTTTTCTCTCTCTATCCCTCTTTTTTTTTTTTTTTTTTTTTTTTGTCCTTCTCTTTTCTTTCAAACGCTGCTGTCTGACTGCGCACAGCCTGACATAAGCGCGTGCCTTCCTGCGCTCGTTGCGCGCGGTCTCTCGTTGCAGCGGGGAGCGGCCGCGAACGGCCGCACCTGAGTGCGGTGTGGGCACAGGCGGAGCCGTGCGGGACGGGGCACGCCGGGGCAGCTTACGCTGTCGGAAGGACGTTCCCTCTAACTTTCTAAAGAGCGAACGTTCGAAGGAGCGTGTTACTCGTTTTTAAGACACGTCTTTGCGAACTTTCCAAAACCTGAGTTCAGGCTGCTTGGTTTTCTCTGTAAAACGGTGACATCTGGTGCTTAAAGTCTGTCGGCAGAGAGTTGTGAGTCCAGCGCACGGCACGGGTGTCATGAAACTGCCTCAGGTGCCCGGTCTGTGCTTGCCGTCTGTGGGTTTCAGCAGTTAAAGCAGCCCTGATTTTTTTCGTGTGTGCAAGCTCTATCCACGAGCCTAAGTCACTGAAAGCACTCCTCTCGTCTGTGTATTTCTTGCACTGCCTCTTCTTAAATTGACAAAGCTTCTTTTTGATGATTGCGAAATGATACAATATCACAAAACTACTCTTTTAAGGGTTCATTTATTTATTTTATCCACTTGCTGTTGGCTGACTGTAGCATCCAGCAGCAAATGGGAGAGATAGACACGCTGTGGAAGTGTGAAGTCTATGCTTTTTGATTCTATACTAGAAAGTCAGCATGCACTCAGCTCCCTCCCCGCCCCATCAAATGTGCTCCCTTATACTTTGTTTCTGTGATTTTAAAATGAGAAAAACTTCTAAGCTTACCCCCTGGGTAAACTTTTATTTTAAACAGAGTGACTTGTAAACCTGAAGGTATTGATAAACAGGATGTTAAAAATTCTGTAGTGTTGAAGGGAAATGCTCTTCAAGAAGGTAGTCTTACAGGCGCAGGAGCGGGCTGTCCCCCTGAGCTGCAAAATGAGCCGGCGGGGGAGGAGACCGGCGTGGATGAATAAGCAACTATTCTTGAA